GCTAGCTTCTAAGAGTAGAGTATCTTTGGAAGCTCGTTCATTACATTATGTACAATCGAAGTCGTGCAAAAGAAGAAAAGGGATAGCCTCACATACCTTATATATACTGCCCCAATCACAAGCTATGCAATTGTCACAACTCCTTAGTCTACAATAGGAGAAACGATACTATCGTTATCATTTAAGCATCATAACTATTATGTATCGACTACAACCTATTTTACGTTGAAATGGACAACACCTCCCCTATATATATGACTTCACACCATTTAAAACAATCACCAAATAGCCCAAACAACATCAATAATAAACATATTGACCCTCCCAAAGCAGTCCACGCACAACCTAATTACATCATACATACGACGACCACCGTAGTCGTGTCAAACGACCCGGAAATGTTATGAATAACTATCATCCCACAACCCTACATATATATGGTGTTTATCAACACCCTTCCACCTCCAAAACTCCACAAAATAGTAGTAAAACACACAGCCTAATAGCAACACAAAATAGTCCACAAAACAGTCCGCTACAAGTGAATAACTCGAACTCACGGCTTCCGATCATCGTCCTGTGAGTTCTTACATGTATAGAACGAATTACCATGAATTCACAACAGAGAAAAATGTATGCAAGATGGCAGTAAATTACCTTACTTGTTGGATAACTCAGCCCTTCCCTTGGTTCTTCAAACTCTAGGTTCTATCTTCAAATAGAACTTGAAAGAGAGGGGAAATCGATTAGGGTTTGTGTGTGATTTTTGGGGAGGAGTTGCAGGGGTTAACTTTGGTTTTGAGGGTTTGAAAAATGGATGAAATAACTGAGTTCATAACCCCTTAAAAGTCCTCTCTTGGCCGACTTAGGTCTTTTAATTTTGTCCTATCATTTTGGCAAGTAGGTGATGCACCTACTTGTCATCTACCAATCTGCGCAGGCTTGTGAAAATATGCATATCTCTATACTCTAAGATCATATTGAAAAACAGTTTAATGATTTGGAAACTAGACTCATAGATATTTAATTTGGTGGGTAGATCACCCCANCTCCAAAATTACAAGTGAAATAATACTAAAGAGAGAAGATACAAATGCCTTAAAAAGATAAAAAGGCAAATGAGAGGTGTATTTAAATCCTAAACATTAAGCCTCCTTTTATAGGGTGAAATTCTCATTCAAAATTGTCATCCATCGATGTGGGACTTTTGACAATTTCAACAATGTCAACTTTAATTTTTCTACGCGTATTTTAGCCTCACTTCCTTAAGTGAAAAATTGATCGCCTAGTTGCTTCTCCAGCTTTATTTAATGGTTTTTTTAATGTCCATGCGAGTAGTCCACAAATAGGTAGTAATATTTTAATATTTGATTATCCACCAGGAGGGGAGGGGGTTGGGGGGCTTCATATTCTACAAATGTTACTCATAGTAGACAGTTGAGAAATAAATGAGAAAAGAGAAGCTTCCTTCCAATTAAAAGTAGTTAGACCTAATAACAAATATCGTTGACTTTGAATATAAATGAGATCATTATAAAAGAAACAATATTTCTTGAATAAAGATTCGAGAAAACTCTACCCTCCACCCTCCTGGTGTGCAATTTCGACAAAGTCCGTCATTTCTAATTTTAAGTTTCTTTTATACCTATATAAGTAAAGACTATAACTATTAGTCCTAATATTTTTCTCAACATTGCTAGATCATTTTAGATGTCAAAGCCTTTACGTCTTCTTCTACAATGGTTGTCCTTCTTCGTAATATTCTCTCAATTCTTTTATGCTTCTCAAGCTGATTTAGGAACAGCAACCCAGTATAGCCCACCGTACACACGTAAGTTATTATCTTCCTACAAAAAAGATATGTCAAGGGTAAGAGTTACGTGTCGCGTAATCTAAAGGTCATGTGTTCAAGACATAAAAACAATTCCTTGTAGAAACGCAGAATAAGGATATCTACGTACAATACCCAATTTCTCGAATACCGCACATAGCAAGAACTTAATGTACTAGGTTGCTATTTTCTTTTTATAGCTTATATTTGATTCTGAATATATCTCCACCTTTTTTCCAAGCAGCCAGTGCATGTTTTGGGAGTGATTCAACTCAGTTTCCTTCAAGCAACTTCTTTGCAGCAGCTGGTGAAGGGATTTGGGACGATGGAGCTGCTTGTGGAAGACAGTATTTGGTCAGTTGCATTAGCTCAATTTCGCCCAGAGCTTGTAAATCAGGAGAGACTATTCAGATCAAGATCGTTGACCGGGCACAAACGGTAGCTTCTAAGCCTACAAGACAAGGAACTACCATAGTCCTTTCTAATGCTGCTTTGGCTGCAATTGCTGATTCAAATGCTCCTTCTCTTAATATCGATTTTCGACAGTAAGCAATCTCTCCATTTATCAGTTTATTATTCTACGAGTAACTTTTTTCGAGAATTCCTTTTTTTTTTTTTTTTCAAAAAGAATTTTTATTTTTGAAAAATTGATGCCTATAGAAACGTGTTTCACATTAATAGCGGTCACTATACGAGGCAAGCCATGACCGTGACTTAAGGTTCAATCCCTTTTACACTTCGGCCATCACTATGGTTTCGACCTTCTAGGTACCTGGTATAAAAGATAAGTTCGGTGCACTAAGCTCCCGTTATGCGCGAGATCCGGGGAAGGATCGGACCACAAAGGTTTACTGTACGCAACCTTACCCTGTATTTTCGCAAGGTGCTGTTTCCACGGTTTGAACCTGTGACCTTCTAGGTACCTAGTATATTTTACAATAATTAAAATGGTTAGTTAGTAAGTAAATTTGTGATTTAAATTTCAAAGACATTTCTTTTTATCTAGGTGCAGCCATGCTGCTCTTCATTTTAGAATAACATCAAAGAGAAAAGAAAGAAAAATTCCTCCCTTACTCCTGCATCAACCGTCATATTTAAGGATTAGATTATTTAACGTTTTCTAAAATAGGATGTTCAAAAAGTGAGGCGTCTTCGTTGTTTCATCTTTCTCCTCGTTTTTTATTTTTTTTGTCCAACCTTTTCTTTAAGGAATACCTAGTACGTACAAGGAGATTTTCTTTAAGCCAAATGGCCTCGTGACCACTTAAACTTGTATCAGTTTGCAAACTCGATACATGAACTTATACTTTTTCTATTTGAACACTCTAACTTAACGGAATGGGTATTAATAAATAAATCCAGCAGAGCATGTATATCAATTGCGCTGACATGTACAACATGTCATATGTTTGACTATTTATTACTTGACATATGTTATTTGTGAGTCCCATTTTCAATACTAAATCAGCAAAAACAAAAGTTACAAATGCTAAAAAGAAGAAAAGAAAAACACCTCACACTTACCCCGTAACCCGTACCCAACAATCCCCCTTCTTCTCGGTGCACCCACCTCCCTTCCTTTCCATACTCTTCTTCTTTCTTCTCTGGTCTCTTTTTCTACATTGTTCTTTCTCCCTCTTATTTCTAAATCAAATTCACAACGCCATTATGGTCATGATTAGACCATAACAAAAAATTAATTAATTTTTGGAATTTCACAAAAAAATCAATAGAAATCCATGATTTTGAAATAATGGTGGTCGCCCAATATTATTGCAAATATCTACCTTTTATTCTTTTCTTATTTATATTTTATTCTAATTCTAATATTTTTTTAATATAAAAAAATACTATCCACGTGCACTATTTTTTTAATTGGCAGCGTGATTTGCACGCAATTTAGCCATGTCAGCTGCACTACTTCCACATAGGCATGATCAATGGTTAACGGTGTTTATTAGAATCCATTTTGTAAAGTTGGAGTGTTCAAATGAGAAAAGTGTAAATTCATACATCGATTTTACAAACCGATACAAGTTTAAGTGGCCACAAAGCCATTTGCTTTTGTTAAGCTAGCTGAGATAATTTTGGAAATTACAGCAGAAAGTTTTGTAAACTTCATAATGACGTAGAGTTTACTCGCATGAAATAACGTAATTAGTATATTTATCAAAAATAAGTTATTACAATTATCGCACAGGTATCAATATTATAAAGACTAAAGAGAGAGAAAAGCTTCGTTATCCATTTGGTACGCCNCACGAGGAAGCCCCAAAATATGGGGAAGTACAGATGATTGATTGATCAGAATCAAACGTACCACCTATAGCATACAAAGTGTAGCAATTCTACCACCACTCAATTTTTTAAAGTAAATACTACTAGTAATTCTCCTAATGTTGATCCATTCAATGTGATATCAGAAAGTAGACTAGTCATTTTGACCAGTCCTTTTCGAAAATGCTATACTTTGTTCAACATTTCAAAACTTTACGTTATGATTTGTGCTTTTGACCCTTTTCATGACATTGATGGATTGGAACTCTCTGGTACTGCAGGGTCTAGAATTGTTGTGCAGGATACGGGAGAGTCATTCTCCACATTCAGAGAAGCTGACATTTTTTTCCGGGTTTGGTTTTCGGTGAATTGAATGTACAAATTGACTCTTTCTCAATCTTGAATTTGATTTTGAAACTGCTGATTTATTATGTATCTAGTTAGTATGAATAATATTACAGCTTTCATGAAGCTTCTCAATGAAAAGAAACAGTTATAAGCAGGATTTGAAGAAGGTTAAAGCTCAAATTTTTGGCAAAAAAAATGCAAGGCTACAATCATAAGAAGGAACATGTATTTTCTCTCAAAGAGAGGGGAAAAGAGTGATAGAACAAGTGTTGATCAATAGTGAATACTATTGAACAAAAGAAAAAATCACATGTATAAGATCTAAAGAAAGAAATTAAAATACTGGAACTAGAAGCTATAATAATTTAATGATGAATAAATAAAAATGTTAATTATACTTTTTTCACGCACATTCATTTGGTTTTTACATTAATGGTACATTTTTTTATTTTTCTATTAATTTTTTCTAGGGAAGGGACTAATATTATTTGAAATCTCCAAAGAGAATATAGAAATAGAGTGATGATGAGAAGTTATGTAATGAACAATGATATTTACTCAAGTGATAAATTATTAAAAATTTGCATGGTAATTTTTAGACAATATTAATGAGCAATGTAATAACATAAAATATAGTTAATTTTTGATTAAATTTATTTATTTTTTGAATTTTATTTGAAAGATAAACTTTTAAATTGAGTGTAGTTAGTTTATTATTTAATTATAAATATTTATTTTAATATTTTTAGTATAAAGAGAAACTATGACAGGAGTGAAAATTTGGAAAGAGAAAAATATTAATATAATATTTTTTAAAAGAATATTTATATAGATGAGAGTGTATAAATTATTAGAAATAATATGCGTGTTACAAATTGACTATAAAAATTAAATTCCAAAGCTTGCTTCTATTTTCTTAGCTTGAAAGCATGTTAAAGAATCAAACTTTAATTTATTTTTCATGTGTAAGAGTAGTAGAAATACTATAAGAAAATAAATGGCCTACAAAAATATAATTTAAATATTGCACCATTAATTTGAATGTGATATTATAAATAAGATATGAATACCAATGTACTACAATTAATTCCTTCTTATATTTGTAGAGAACCTAAGTAGTGGATGTACAACTGGCAGTCAACTGTAGTTTAGAGTAATTAGAGTTAGTTAGTTTGTTGAGTAGTATAAATAGAAGTTAGTTAGTTAGGTAACACTGTACAAATTTCATTTATTCTCTATTGGAATATCATGGAAGCTTATCTTCTTCTCTTCTTCCTCGTTTCATATCTGCATGCAGAGTTCTTCTGATGCCATAGCTGAACTCTTTAACATGGTATCAGAGTTCTGAGTTAGATCTGTCAGCTCAGCAAACATCAGAAGAGAGAAAGCTATTTGCTCGAGTCAATTTTTAGCTAAGAGCAAAAGTTTCAAATTAGGGTTTTTTTGTATCTGGTTGAAACTCGATGCATATCTCTGAATTTGAGAGATTTGGAGTACAATTCAGTGTTCAACAATGCCGACTGATGAAGGAGTACCCTCTGCTCAAACCTCGAGTACACCAGTTGCTCAGTCGCACAACACACAAAATCTCGAACTGGTTCATCACAATCATCTGCTATACATTCATCCTCTAGACACTCAAGGTTCTGTTCTCATCTAAATTCAACTTCAAGGTTCTAAAAATTACTCAATTTGGAATAGATCTATGAAAATTGTATTTCATGAAAAAAATAAATTAGGCTTTGTTTTAGGAACCTGTAGAAATGAAATGTATGATGTTAGTTTGCATGAGTTATGGGACATATACAATGCGATTGTATTAGCTTGGATAATGAATATAGTCTCTTCACGTCTAATTAGCATTGTGATATATGCCTTAAATGCTTATAAAGCATGTGAAGATCTAAGAGAAAGGTTTGACAAAGTAAATGCATCTAGAGCCTGCTATTTGCATAAGAAAATTGCCACCTTGATCAGGGAGTGTCATAAGCATCTGTATATTTCTCTAGACTACGAGAACTGTGGGATAAGTATGAAATATTGGCTCCTTCACCCTCTTTGTCTAAACAATATGCTGAGCATTATCACTTACAAAAATTGAAATTGTACCAGTTTTTGTCTGGCATAAATAAATCCTATGAGAATGTTAAAAATCAAGTTCTTATGATTTGACCACTGCCAAATATAAACCAGGCTTATATTATGATTATTAATGTTGAAAGCCAAAGAAAAACACGAGGAGGAAGTACTATTAGTATTGGTGCTAAGAATGAAGAGTCTGATGTACTTTTAAGCAACAGAGGAGCAAATAGTGATGGTTATAGACCTAGAACTAACTATGGGAAGGCTCCTGCTTATTGTGAATACTGCAGGCTTAAAGGTCATACAAAGTACAACTGCTATAAGCTGCATGGTTATCCAGCAGACTTCAAATATAAAAAGGAAGGGGGAGGACCTAACAACTATGCCAACAATGTGATCAATGCTAGCAGTCAATCACCTAAAATGCAGAATTTTTCCTAGTCCAGCTCTTAGTCTGTTGGGAACTCCTCATCTTCACAGTCAGTGGCGAAGCTAAAAATATTTTCAAGGGTATTCAAATTTGGAAGAAGTGAAAAAAACTTCCCGACAAATGGTGTTCAATATGTGTTATATACTTCTAAAATATAATATTTTACATATATATACAATGCAATTTTTCGATGAAGGGTGGTCAGTTGACCGACCACCCTTGTGACCATGTGGCTTCGCCACTGTTCACAGTCACCATCACGAGCTCAATTTTTCACTCAAGAACAATACATTCAAATTTTGCAAATGTTGAACAAAGGAAAGGAATTTGAATTTGTAGCTAATACAGCTAAAGTAGGACCTGTAGATATTACCACAACTCTTATGACTAATCTATTTGATAATAACTGGATAGTTGACACATGAGCTACTAATCACATGGTGCATAACTTGGGGTTGTTAAGTAAATTCAAGGAGTTGACTGGTCTAGAAATAAACAAAGTACACCTACTTACTAGAGAACAAGTAACTATTAAGAAAACTGGTGACTCTCAAATAATTCAAGATAGAACACTTCATAATGTTCTGTATATTCCAGACTTTACAAATTGATATCAGTCTCTAAGATCACTAAGGAGTTAAAATATTTAGCAACATTCTTTCCTGATTTTTGCTTGTTTTAGGAACTCTTAAGTGGGAAGGTGATAGGGATTGGTAAAGAGGATCAGGGCCTCTACATACTAAAAACAAGAACTCAAGATGGATTCAGTTCTGGTTCTGGCAGTAAACATAGTAGTCTGTCTACTTCTTGTGTAAATAACTCATGTGTAAATATTATTTCTAATTCCAGTCTTAAGAATAAGACTGAGGGATAACATATATCTTGTGGTAGCATATCCCTGTGTCATAGGAGGCTTGGACATCCTCCTTTGAAAGTTCTGAGAAGCATTAGTATTTTGAGAAACATACATATGAAAGATCATGATTGTACTATATGCCCAATTTCCAAGCAAACAAGATTACCCTTTTATCGCATTTGATCTTATTCATGCTGATGTTTAGGGTTCCTATAGAGTTCCAACACATGATGGTAGGAGATACTTCATGACACTGGTAGAAGATTACTGTCACGCCCCAATATCGAGGAGCGCGACCGGCGCTCAACTGAGAGAACCCGGCCGAGCAAGCCTGTTAGATTTTCTTCTACCTAAACTCATCCATGAATAAAGAGGAGATGTACTCCATTAATCAACACTGAAAAGATTTCATTAATAACTTCCATTTCATTCCCATTAGAAACTTCATTCATAGTTTCCAAAACATTACGAGTTTATAGAATTAATGAAAAACATGATTTCCAATTATCAACATTTCTATTTCAATTCCCAACATCAACCATAACCCACAACCTGTCTACGGGGCCTCTAAGTACAATAGAAAAGTAATATGAAAATGCCGGCAACAAGGCCCCGGCTATACCTCAAAACACAGTACATGAGAAACAAATACATGACCCCGAAATGAAGTGGGGCTCACCAAATCAGCTGAAAAGAATGTACTGCTATCATTGATCAATGTCACCTGCTGTAGAACCACCTACATCTATTTAAAGATGGAGCACCCCCGGCAAAAGGGACGTTAGTACTGTCGAATAACACTAGTATATATAGCTAAAAGTCCTCTTTCAAAATAGAATGCCCATATAAGAAAAGTTAACACATAGAAACAACAAGTCACCATCCACAATATCCAAATGTCCAAATAAAAACATGATAATTTTCAAAATACGAAAATAATATATATTTTTGGTTGGGAGATCATTAACACCGATATTCCACCATCTTTGTTAGCACGGAGTCCGATCACGCCCGATCGGCTAGGCCATCTCCCCACGAACAATGTGGTTTGACAGATGATGCGAAAGAAAGTTGTTACCAAGAGTAGTACCACCGTGTGCGCAATATGGAGTCCGATCTCCACCCGATCAGCTAGGCCATCTTCTTTCCACATATGCCGTGTGGGTTGACTTTTCCATTCCACAATTTTTACCAGTTCATCCCAATTAAGGGGAATAATATCACAATTTCATCCCAAATAAGGGGAATAACCACAATCCACCCCTACACCGGCACGTGTAGTTTCAGGTGTGGGCCTTATGACCCACCCTTCCTCGGTTTTACTAATGATACTCCCAAAAATATTTTATTTTTGATTTGCACACAGAGGTAAGATAATTACAATTGTACTCACCTCAACATCTTTCACATTGTATAAATTCTCATTAGTATTTCCAGTCATTCATAACGACGATATTTCCTTGGCTCATTTGGCCATTCACAAGATTCTTTATTCCTGACACGATGGCCGTATTTCATATTTCTTTCACCTCTTTCAATTTCAAAGATCATCATCAAATATCAACATATAGAAAGTTTCAGAAATCATATACTTCAAATCCATTTGAAATGGGAACTTCAAACACAAATGGTTTCTTCCCAAAGAATGAGGCATACCAACCAACAATAGAAACACACATGAAAAATCATAAACAATCAATACACCATTTACTCTTACAATACTCTTCCCCAGAAATGACTATGTACAATTTCAACACATGAGTATATAGTACTCGAATTACACTGG